AGGCAAATGAAATAATTGTGTGAATACATTATTCAAACTAAAGAATTAATAATAATAATAATTTGACTGCTTGATGAACATACTTTAAGTTAAGCAAATGTTTTATACCTATGTGGAAAGCATTGTCTACATTTCAATGTACAAAATTTTGCGATGCAAGGTAAAATTTAAATGGATTCAGGCCTTGTAGAAATGACACATATTGTTGTTGTTGCTGTGTGTTGTCAAGTCAGTTCTAACTTATATGACCCTATGTATAATTTCCATGGCTGTATATCTTTAAGGGAGCAGAAAGACTCATCTTTTCCCCATGTCCTAAACAATAGATGGAATCCTGGTGTGATGTTAGAGGATGATGCACTGGTTCAAATCCTATACAGGTTTGCTATGAGTTTGAACCAGCTTGATGACACTTAACAACCAAAGCAACAACAAAGATACTAGAAGAAAGTCTATCATCAGTCAACAAAACTTTGAAAAGTATGATGATATCATAAAAATAATTCAAAATGAAAGTAAATATCCAAAATAGTTTAAAATTATGCCTATAATTTTTACAAAATCATTTATATTTTTTATAAAGTGTTTTGGTAGAAAGGGCATTAAAAACTATATTCATGTCAAAAACAAATAATGCATTGTCCAAGTTAAAATTAATTACGGTATTTATTTTAAATTATGCATTTTTTTCAATTCTATTTGGAAGTTCACATCTTTTTCTTGTATGATTCACATTTCCTATTTTGACTCATTAAATATTTGGAAAAAATTAAATGATTATTTTAATTTCTTAGGGTTGCCATAATCAAATTCCAAAAAAATGAGTGCCTTTAAATAAAGAAAGTTATTGTCTCACATTTATGTAGGCTGTTAGTATGAATTCCGTACAGAGCCATGTTTTCTCTGAAGGCTTCAGAAGAAATCTTCCCTTGTCTCTATCAGTTGCTCTACCAGTGTTTCTTGACTTGAAGTTGAATATATCTTTGCCATATGATGTTTTCCCTGCTGAGTGTACCTCTGTGTCTCTTCTCTTTTATAGGGCTTCATTAAGATTGGGTTAACATTCACTCTACTCCAGAATGAACTCAAAACCAAAAGAAAGAAATCAAACCCAAAGCCCTATCATTGAAGCAATTCTGATGCATAGCAACCCTATGAAGTAGAATAGAACTGCTCCTTAGGGTTTCCAAGACTATAAATCTTTATTACAACAAATAGCCTATTTTTTCTCTGGTGGGTTTAAAGTACCAGCCGTGTGGTTAGCAGTCCAGTGCTTATCCTACAACACAGCCAATGTTTATTAGCATGACCTCATATTACTTAATAATATCTGCAAAGACTTTGTTTACAAAAACTCAAGTTCACAAATATCAATATGTCTATTATGAGTACACCGTTCACCCCATAACAACTATTCATTCAGAGGGAAAGATTACCTCCCATGAATGCATGTGTTAAAACATTGAATTTTGAACCATTTATTTAGTATATTGGACCAAGAAACTCATTACAGGGAATAAATAGCATTAATCCCTCAAAAGATTCAAGTCCTTTGAATTGGTATAGTCATGAATGAGAAATATGTAATCTTTTTTTTTATTGATTTGCTTTGTTGGTAAATGTTAATATTGTGTAATACAAAAAAATCCATGCAAACATATTTTCTTATGTTGGTAACTGTGTGCTGTGGAGTCAGTTCCGGCTCATAGCGACCCTGTACAGGGTTTCCAAGGCAGTAAATCTTTATGGGAGCAGAACGCCTCCTCTTTCTCCAGCGGAACAGCTGGTAGTTTCAAAATGCTGACCTTGCAGTTTGCAGCCCGATTTGTAACCACTACACTACCAGAGTTCCTTTTTTCTTATATCATACAAAAATAACTAAAAGTCATTTTGTCAATGCCAACCAAGAAGTGAATAGATCCATAATTGTAGGAATATAGAGGCTTGCATAAAAAATAAAACAATATATTTAGGGATGAGGATCAAGAATTGTTACTAAAAGCAAGTTATTTCACTTTTCATTTTGAAATATTTATTTTTAATAGTCATTTCCACCTAGCAAACTCTGACTTATAGTGACTCTATATAAAGATTTACGTAGTTGTAAATCTTTATGGGAGAATGCCTCATCTTTATTATGTGAAGAGTTTGGTGGGTTTGAACTCCCTACCTTGCAGTTAGCAATCCAGTGATTATCATATAGGACCAGCAGGGTCTCCTTTTGTTTTCAATAGTTGTAAGAAAATAAATAAATAAATGATGGTTAACATGCTAAGCTGCTAACCAAGTGGATGATGATTTGAGTCCATCCAGTAATGCCTTAGGAGAGAGGCTTGGTGAACTACTTTCCAATAATTCTTGTTGCTAAGAGCTATTGCGTTAGATCTGATTCATAGCAACCCTGTATAGAGTTTACAAGGAGAGGCTGGTAGGTTTGAATAACTAATCTTACAGTTAGAAGTCCATGCTTATCCTACACCACCATACCAGGACTCTCATTGATAACTCCATAAAGCATAGTTTACTTTGACACACATGAAGTCTTCATAAATAAAAGTCAACTCAAAATCATCTCTTTTGTTTGTTTGAATTAGTATAATTTGTGGATTACATCTATTATTTAAAGAAAATAAAAAATACCATTTATTTTTGGATAAGTTTTCCCTCTACCAACATTCTCAGTGCTATTTTCATGGCCTTGTTTCTCAAACTGTATATGATGGGATTCAATGTTGGGGGAACTATAGTGTAAAATACAGTAATTATAAGATCAGAAATAGATGGAGAATTTGAGGTTGGCTTTAGATAAGCAATGAAGCCAGTGGAGAGGAATAATACAACAACAACCAGGTGTGGAAAACAAGTAATGTAGGCTTTTGACTGGCCTTCTGTTGATGGAATTTTTTTGACAGTGGAGAAGATATAGACATAGGAAATAATGATGAAAATAAAACAGCAGATATCTATCACCACACTAATGAGAATGGGAATTATTTCACTTAATAAACTTTCTGAGCAAGAAATAGCTAACAACTGGGGGATGTCACAGAAAAACTGATGGATCATGTTGGAACTGCAGAAGGATAAAGAGAAGGTTCCAGCTGTGTGCATCACTGCAAACACAACTCCACCCAGCCAAGACATAGTTGCCATCTGCAAACACACATCCCTCTTCATGATGACATCATAATGCAGGGGATGACAAATGGCAGCATAGCGGTCGAAGGACATTACTGTAAGGAGAAACAGCTCTGCAGCTGTTGAAAATACTACTAGTAAAACTTGGGTGACACAGCCAAAGAACGAGATGGAATTGTTTTGGGTCAAAGAGTTGATGATGGATTTAGGGATTGTGACTGAAATGAGGCAGAGATCCAAGAAGGATAAATTCTTCAAGAAAAAGTACATTGGAGTGTGGAGGTACTTGTCCAAACTTGTAATCAAAATAATAAGTACATTCCCCATCAAAGCAACCAAGTAAATCATTATGAAGAGCACTGAATGCAAAACATACATAGTTTTATTAGTAGAAAATCCTATAAGGAAAAATTCAGTCACAACTGTGAGATTTGTCATTATCACAGCTACTCCCTGGAGAAAAACAAGAGAAAAACAAAACATCAAAAAGATAAAAAGTTTAAGCATTAAATATATAACTATAAGATTTAATATGATAATTATTCAACCTTTTGATCTTGACTCTCTTCATACCAGTTTGTCATATGGTGGTGAACTGCATGTTCCTGTGATGCTAGAAGATATGTATTTCAAATGTCAGAAGGGTTACCCAGCCATCAGGTTTCAGCAGAGTTTTGTAACTGAGAAAAACTGGAGAGAATAGATAGGTGGTCTAGTTTTGAATGATTAGACTCCAGAAAGCTTATGAATAGCAGAAGAACACTGCTTGATATAGTGTGGAAGAAGAGCCCATCAGGTTGGAATACACTGAAAACATGACTGGGGAAGAGATGCCTCCTCAAAGTATTGTTAACTTAATTGATGTAGCTGGAGCAGAGTTTGGGACCTTCATTTGCTGAAGAAATAGTTTCAAATTCTATATATAATCATAATGTGGGATGACTGAAATATGAATCTAGGAAAATTGGAAGCCATCAAAAATGAAATGAAATGCACAAAAATTAATATTCTAGCATCAGTGATCTGAAATAGACTGGCATTTGTTATTTTCAAATAGATAACATGGTTTACTATGCCAGGAATAACTAATTAA